GAGTGGTTCTCTCCGAGGCACGCGGCCCCCCAACAGGGTCGCATCGGCGGCCGGTCGACCTCCCTCCTGGTAACCACCCCTGTCCCCACAGGAAGGCCTGGGCCCCGGTGACACCACGAGCACGTTCTGCGGGACCCCCAATTACATCGCCCCGGAAATCCTGCGTGGAGAGGAGTACGGTGAGCGCGGGTGGGGGGCGGGGGGACCTCCAGAAGCGCCTCTTGGGGACATGGTCACAGGGCAGAGGGAGGGCGGGGCCTGGCCCGGCCCCAGGAAGAGGGCTCACTGACCAGGTCACACCTGAAACGCTGCCCAGCCCCGGCCGCCCTCTGGCCTCTGCCCTGTTTGAGCCCCTCAGCCCTCTGTGGCCTCAGGTGTTGGCCCGAGTGTCCCCGGAGGAGGGCCCTGGGCAGGAGGCCTCTTAGGACGAGCCCTGGGCCGGGAGGAGGGAGAGGCTCGCAGAGCCAAGCCAGACGGCGCCCCGAGGCAGGGGGTACCACAGGGCGATGCAGGAACCTGCCCTCTCCGATGACCAGCGCCCGCCTCCACCCGTCCCCCTCGGGGGAGCAGACGGGAGATGGTGGGGCCTGGGCCGGCATTTTCTTTTTCTTTTGTCCTAAATTTTTTTGTATGTGTTCATTGATTTCAGAGAGGAAGGGAGAGGGAGAGAAAGATAGAAATATCAACGATGAGAGAGAATCATGGATCGGCTGCCTCCTGCCGCATGTGCCCTTGACGGGAATCAAACCCGGGACCTTTCAGTCCGCAGGCTGGCGCTCTATCCACTGAGCCACACCAGCCAGGGCCTGGGCTTTTTAACAAAGTGTCTTCCAGATGCCGTCACACATTCCTAAGCCGTTTCTCTGTCGTTGGAAGGGGGGTGGGCAGGGTGGGCAGCGCTGGGGGTTGCTACCCTGACGTCACTTATAGCCAGAGGAGGGCAGGTCGCTGGCCCCAGGGAGAGACCCCGCAAACCTGCAGTGGGCTCCCTACCCCCCCAGACCTTCCGCAGGTCAGCTGTGCTCCACCATGAAACAGTGAGCGTAGAAAATCTGTGGCAAGTGTCCTAGAGAAGGGGCCGTTCAGACTAGCAGGAACGAGAGCACTGCTGTCCCACCCACCAGCTCAGCTTGATGTGTGTGTGTGGGGTGTGTGTGGGGTGTGTGTGTGGTGTGCTATGAGTGTGGGGGGGAGGGGTGTACGGTATGAGTGTGTGTGTATGTGGGGGGGTGGAGGTGTGGGGGGTGGTATGAGTGTGTGTGTGTTGTGGGGGGAAGGGGTGTGGGGTGTGTGTGGAGTGTGTGTTGTGGGGGGAGCGGCGTGGGGTGTGTGGTTGGAGGTCAAGCGCAGGTTGCAAGGCCGGGTGACAGCCCAGACTCCAGGGCAGAGCCAGATCGGGGTCCCCGGCCTTGAGGTGAGCGGCCCTGCAAGCAGGAAAGACCGGCCCCCAGGACTCGGGCGGGGAGGTCGGGACACGTCACACCCCAGACGGCCCCCCGGGCTGATGGGCCTGTGGTCCCTCCAGGGTTCAGCGTGGACTGGTGGGCGCTGGGCGTCCTGATGTTCGAGATGATGGCCGGGCGCTCCCCCTTCGACATCATCACCGACAACCCCGACATGAACACGGAGGACTACCTGTTCCAAGGTGAGAGAGGCCGGAGGGTCCCCGTTCTCAGACCTGGCGGGGCGGGGGCGGGGGCTGCCCCTTCCAGCCACCCTAGGGCTCCCTGCTACCCAGGGCACCTGCCCCTGCGCCCCGGCCTTGTTGTCCCCGCAGCGCCCTCTGGCGGCCGAGTGCAGAAGGGCCTGGGGACACTGGCTCATCCCGGATGAACACCTTCGGCCACGGGTGCCGGGTCTGTGGGTGGCAGACTGCTGGGCT